GAAGGTTTGTTGCCTAAGCGGTGTCTTAGCAACGCCAGCTTACCTTCTGGAGTTCGAACGGAAGGCAGAATGCGAAGCACTTAATGTTTTACCGTTGAGTGGTTAAATATGCCAGAAAGCCATTCTTGGACGTATCAGAATTTTCTGGATCTTGATGAGATCTTGTAATATACTAACGTCGGGCTACAACATGTTAACAAGATTCAGCCAAGAGGGTCACAGGCTTCTATTTACTCAGAGATATGTAAGCCGCATTAAACCATTGTTTTAAAGGTAATGATAGGTGCGGATACTGTGTACATAGCTGAATGATGAAGGAATCGTCACACGGTTAATGTCAGACGGTGGTTTACATAAGCGACCACTGTCGCATCTACACGTCCTAGCGAACAGAGGCGATCACAGCACTTCAGAACAACATAAATATTACGAGCTGTTCGTAGCACGAGTATATCAAATATCGAATGTGATTCCTCAAAGACCGCTTTTCACGGTAAGGAGCAAGAAGTAGTGAAATACGCTATAAAATCTGGTCTTGGAGTAGTTATTTGTTATATTGCTTTATGACACAAGCGATTATAACTCTTGGCCACCTCTGTCACAGTAAAGTGGCTATAGGAACTGCTCTTAGAACTGCAGTGTCCTTGACGGTTGCGTGGCACAAAAATAAAGGAAGTGTCGCGCTGTACTTCACCATACTTGTTTCCTAACTGTTGCTTGCTCTGTCTTCTTATGATAGCAACAGTCTTATCTAACAGTTTTTATGCTTCGTACCTTTTGTAGGACGACTTTTAACAGTAATAATGAATTTTTATTGAAGTATCAAAATCCAAGTTTAAATACGAGCTGTCTCGCTTCCTAAATCATAAAATTTTTTCTATGTTTTTAGTTGGCCGAAAGCTGTTGTTCAGAGTACCGAAGCGAAATTGCGGTCTGTTCCACCCTCGGCTGCATCTCCAGCGGCAAAGGAGGAGGAGGAAGATATTGACCTTTTCGGATCCTCAGAAGATGAAGATGATGAAGCGGTAATTGCAGTCTCAGTCTTACTCGAAATTTCCATTGGTTGAATTTATGATATAAAGGCCAAAGCTGAAAAGGAGAAGATCAGGCTGGAGCGCTTGAAGGCCTATAATGAGAAAAAAGCGAAAAGTGAATTCTATGATCTCTGCTTTTAAGGAACGCCCTAAAATCCAAAAATTTCAGAGCCGAAGGAAGTAGCAAAGTCCAACATCATTTTAGATGTGAAGCCGTGGGGCGATGACACCGACCTCAAGGAAATGGAGAAACGAATTAGAGATATCACAGCCGATGGACTCGTTTGGGGTGCATGTAAGTATACCGTTGTTTGTTGCTTTTTCATTTTGCAAGTCAGCCCTGGTCAGAGATTTCACGCAATTACTTTCATTATGTTTTCTCTTCGGGTAGATAAACGGATGACCATAAGCTTTCCATTTTGACCTACAGTAAGACTAACCGTCTTATCGACCCGCGTTAGGCAGATTTGGAGAACACTGGGATCTTCACGTTACCGTTATCGTATCTGCCAACTGTTTCGAAATTCATAACCTCATAATGAAATATCTTATACTTCCTTGCTAACGCTTTAAGATATTGCTGCTGTGCAGTTGAGTTTTCTATAATCTATATAACTCTGAATTACAATGGATTTATTAACTATTATCGCTTAGGTGTAGATTAATGGATGACTACTCCAAGACGAGATTTCACGGCGTTTCGTACCTTCCTCTTGCTTCTAGTTTCCTATAGGGCATTTAAGCAGGGCATGGCTCAATGATAATTGAAGCACCTGTAAGGCCAGATGGATCTCGTCTCGTTTTTTCCGCTTGCTCATCATGAACGATGTTTCAGGAGCTAGTACTCCGTATATGCTACCATTTAAACATTAAGATAGATTTTTGACTAAAGTTACAGAAATGCGTCAGTTTCGAGTAAAAGGACTCTAGTAATAAGATAGATTCTGAAAGGATATGATGCATTTCTGTGTATATATTCCGTTGTAGAGGAGGGACATATACTTATATTCGATATAAAAATGCTTAAGTTTAAGGGTAAAAGGTATACATCTATGAATAAGTACCGCTGTACAAATCAGTTGATGTTTCTTTACAATAAATTTTACATTAAGTACGTTCCTCGACCTTTTCTTGGTTTCTCTGACAACCGGATATTCTTAATGGCATCATTGGTATAATTCTTATTGTTCAAATCGTTTTGTTTTATAATCGAAATTCATTAGCGACGTTAAATTGAAGTGTCAACATAACTGTCTCTATCTATCTATTACCCTATCTACCGCATATTTGGTTCAGCATAGATCATTCACGGAAAATCAAGCCCGTCCTGATTAGTTCCCTTTATGGGGTTGAAAGCAACATGCTTGTTGTGAGCAGTAGTTGACTCACACTTTGTTCACCGTTCTCTTGAAAACTTTGTGCTAAAGTTCTCGTTCGTTGCCACAATGAATGATGCATTGTTTCTTGTTGACATCTGCTGAAAGACACAGTAAATAGGAAGTTCTCATTGTCATTTAACGTAAGCAAGATAAAGCGCAGAATCGCTCAGATTACCGATGCCTGACCCGTTTTAAATGGCGCATCAGATCGTATTGGTCACTGTTCACCAAAATCATTCCTTATCGCAAACAGGTAAATCTGAAGTGCATTTCGATGTTTTCGAGTACTGTCCCTCTATGCATCGCATTGAGAAGAGAAGTTTGAGGCGATTTCATTTCTTTCAGAACATTTTATCAAACCAGGCAAACTAAGTAAACTTGCTGGTTTCTTGGTCACCAACAACTTCTTGCTTATAACTCGGTTTTACTGTCACACCTCGTGCTTCGTTGTAATGGCAGTTACAGATGATTGATTACTGGTCTGTTTTAACCAGTGCCAACAGTGAGTAATTATGTCCGCATTAAAACTTCAACAGAATGAGGAAACAGACTGTTGGATTATCTACCAGCTGGTTTAATGAACTGTTATGCCTTTAGACTGGGTTGCTCAGTTCGCTCATCACAAGTTTCTAGTGATTGAAACGACTCAGTTCTTTGCTGCACACTCGACAGGTTTATCTCGCCGTTTTAAAGGCCTACTACCTAGTATGGTTTCGTATAAAACTAAAAATACGATTTTTTACTTTTCTTATAGTTGTTTAACCTGTGTGTACTTTTTTAGATTCACTTACATTTATAATTAACACAGCTTCGCTGTGATGATTCAGTTTTCAAATTTTCATTGTATGCTGTGAAATATTTAGAAGCCTATTAATGTTGGAGTCTTTTTGAGTTCAGCTTAACATCAGTGTCATTAGTTACACAATTAATTAACAGTAAGTTAATTATATACATTTTCTGTTTAAATGTTAGTTCTTGAGAATCTACCATTTTTGTTAAATTTTAGCTAGGACGATCCCCGTCGCCTATGGAATAAAGAAAATTCAAATAAGCTGCGTAGTGGAAGACGATAAAGTAAGCTTTGAGCGTATCGACGAAAAAGGAACTACTAACTGTTTGTTTTCTTCTTAGGTCGGCACAGACTTTTTGGAGGAGGCGATCACCGGCATGGAGGACTTAGTACAGTCGGTGGACGTTGTGGCGTTCAACAAGATCTGAAGTCGTTTTTTTTATGTCGTGGCGTTTTCCGTGTTACTCTGTCATCGCCAGTACGATAAATAATCTACGAGTTCACAAACGTTTCAACGTATACGTACGAAAACAATAAAACAACAATAAGCATTGATTGCTTTTATATACGCGATACAAACACCTTGCAGAAAATAGAAAAATACGATTTTAAATAAGAATCAAAGTGGAATGTGTGGCGGCGAAATCACAGCACAATAGAGATTAGAATAATACCACAACGGCACAGACCGACAAACAAACGGCGATGTCGTGACGCGCTTGTCATCGGCAGAACTTATACGAGCACGGCGGCGGTGGCAGCGGACCGATTGACCAACCGACAGCTATTGTTCAGGCATGGTCTTCAGGATTTCCTGTACCTCGAGCGCGATGCACGTCAGAACGAACTGAAACTGCTCAATCGTCTGAACAAGACCTTTGCGTTGATCGCGCAGGTGCTCGAGGGTCGCGGCGATGTTCACCTCCTTCACTCCTAGAAACTAGATTTTGCAACAAATACGTCACTGAGCCATTTACATAAATAAATAAATCCTAAACGATGAGAACACAACGAGTTACAGTTAAAAGTGTCTGCTTATATTCACAAAGTAAAGGGTTTAGGAAAAGCTGCAGCAACTGAAGACACTGGTCACTTTATCTTTCTGTACTCAATGGGTTCAGCTACTGGAATTCTTTATTCACGGCTACTTTATTCACGGAGCCTGCAGCTTATTCGTTTCCATACCATCAGCAATGATTGATTTATTTTTAAAGGTGATGCCTGCTACTAAGAGGCTGTTTTAGCGTATATTCACTGCTATGCAATTCGTTACCTGGCTAAAGACAACAGGTGGCAAGCTTAAACGGCAGATAACTCGACCACGAAGTTGTCGGTACCATAGTAAGGTGATCCCTTATATAGTGACAGTTTACATAATTTTCACACTGATGACAATCAACTGTTTTGTTCTATAAATTGAAAATAACGATTTCTCAGTAACTGCCCTTAAACGGGTAAATAAAATGCAAGTATCGATCCATCATTATGCCACTTTACCTGGCTCGAATACATTTTATTCGCAGACAAATGTCTTTGGACAACGCAAGGTGCCGCACTACTGTGCACAACATGGTCTGGCGGAATTATACACAGCGCATAACCTGCGCGATTCGTATAATAAACCATCACGTGATGTTTCGGTTTGATTTTAACCGTGACGTAAAAGTTAGAGTTAGTGGCCATTGGAGGAGCAAACAAAACTACAACTTCAGAGCAGAAGCATTTTTTTTGATTGCCTTGTCTTCTCGTAAGGGAATTAGCCAGGAAAAACCTATTTTTGAGGTATTCAAACTAAGTCTGCAGTTTTAGAAGCAAACTAACTCTCCAAGGTACCGCTCGTTTTATCGATTTGCTCAGGAAAAGTTTCCAGTTCGAAGTACGTTTTTTAGCATGAAAATACGCATGGCAAAACTGGTACGATTTGAATAGGTTTAGGTAAACACTATCGAAAATATTTACATTGTGATTTGCATATATATATATTGAGGATCCATGTACCACTTAGACTTCCACACCGAATAGACGAAAGCTACTGTTCATCAGTTGACTCTGGCAATAAAAGTAAAAATCCTCATTAGGCAGAAGAAATAATTCATCTCTGAAATGATTTAAAATGACTGAATCTAGGTGCTCACAGGCATAACAGGCGACCGGCGGTCCTGGTCTGTATTTTACTGGACAAACGGCACTGCCAATCTGTATAAGGTAAAACCGTCAGCAACACCTATACAAATACCGTCTCAAAAATCTAATCACAGCACCGGAGTGCAATAGGGAAAAAATTGTTTGGACTAACGAAACAGTAACCATGATTAGTAGAGCTCTCGAGACATTCTACCCTAGAGTCACACACTGATTTAAAGCACATAGAGGGATAACTGCCGTCTCCATTAATTCATGAAGAAAAAACGGTGAAATGATTCTCCAAGGTACAAAACGTTGATGGTACTTCACGGCGGAGATTGTCAGAAGAAGAGGACTTTGAGGAATGGGAAGACTGAAATATAATTTAACGCAAACTTGCCTCCGAACTAATAGCACTGCATTACTGAATTCGAGATCGTCCACTATCCAGCTTAGTCTCCCAGATCTAAACGGTGCCTGAAATCGCTTACTTTAAAAGCAACAAAAGCCTAAAATAGACAATGCTGAGCTTCAACGATTTCGGGCGCCAGGCTAATGCTCATCTTTAAAACATCATTTATTTATTCTAAATTCAGCTATAGGCCAGGTTAAGGCCTATGCTCAGACAGCATGGTAGTATATATCTCACATTCTATCACCGCCACCCCAGAACACATCGATTTTCCTGTTATTGGCAGTTCAACGACTACATATTCCTGGTAGGCCTGATTTTATTAAAGCACAGCAGATTAATTTTCTTGCTCAAAAGAATTAGCCGGTAATACGAACGTTCCACTCCGCGGTGGGATTTGAAACAGGCACCTATGCAGTGCTAGATGTGAGACAAAACTACATATCTACTGTACAACTGCCCCCCAAATACATCGTAACGTTTCGATCAAACAACAGTGGTTCTCCTCAGGACCGAACAAACCTATTAATAATGAGCGAATTCAGGCAACTTCTACAAGCTGGTGTTTAAAGAAGTATTTACATGTCATGCAAATCACGAACTGACCTTTGTTTATTCTGTTGAGAACCATATCCAGGAGAACGTAGGTTCCAGTTCGGCCAGCACCATCACTGAAAGTTAAACGCGTGAATAATAAAGAAGCAGGTGAAGAAAAACGTAAATATCACCTGCAGTGAATGACGATTGGACACGCCTGACCGCGATAAGACTTGTTTATCTTTCTTAAAATAAAGCGCGTTTACACAACGATGCATCAGTACACAAACGATGCATACATATAGAAAGTGGACACGCAATGGACAGTGTCCACCAGTCAGTCGCCCGGGGCATCGGCTGCGAGCGTTGAGTGAGTGACGATCAAAAGCCCATCACTTTTGTGACTATGCAATTTCAAAACTCGAACTGCACCTCACAAAAATGGTGAGCAATCGACTCCAAAAAGGAACTCGCAGCCGGGAGCACACACTGAGGCAAACAACGAAAGCTAAAATGTGGTGACGGAGCTGCGACAGCGACTGCTGACTACGACAGACAGACAGGCAATAAAGCAATGCAAAAACGAAGCGCTGCCACTTCAAAATGTGCTTACCGTCGAAACTCCAGCACCGATTTGGCAGAGAGGGGGACTCCGCCATCGGACCAAGTCAAGAAATGAAACTGCGTTACGGTTCGAGTCTCAGAGGTGTTCAGATTCTTCAGGTAAAACGAACGGACCAAATAGTCTTCGCTCCAGATGTGTTCAGACACCAGATGAACCTGCAGCGATAGACGATCAAACACGACAAGCAAAAGTACAGTGGAACGAATTCCTTGCTGAATAAAGCTAACAATTATTGGACAAATTTACACTGCGCTTGGATTCAAACAAAAAATTTACCACCGGAACAACGCCCCCTCCCTTAAATACAATTCCAACAAAATTCTGCTATTTGTATAAATCATACCTCACTCTTTTAATAGCAGTGAGCCAATATACAACTTTCTAAAGGTGTCCCGCAATATAATCAGGTCGTACTTGGTATGCAAAAAATAGTTTATGAGACAATCAAACATGGACGAACGAAATCAATTATGTATTGATGACCCTGAAAATCAACATTTAGTTGTATGAGTTTACCTGAAAGATGTTATAAGTCTCGGATCCATTTTCCGGCCAGTATCGATAGCATTTTTCTTCATTGTTTTCTTGCAGCCGTGTGAGATTGGCCAAAACTACGCTGCCCTGTTCCCAGACCATTTGCCAAAAGTCGTTGACCGTACCTTTCATGGGACCCTGAGTGGCGATATACGTGGGGTTGCGAGGATCGTGATCGTACTGCAAACAAAACGCAACACAAAATTATGATAATTAAGACAAGGAAGGAATGATCGCTCGGTTATTAAATGAATTAATGAATGGGATGAACGATTTATGACATTATTAGAGATGATGGCGACTTCAGTTATTCAATATCTTCCGGCAATTCAAACAGAGACTCATAGAGTAATACGCTTCGAAATGTTACAAACGAGAAACTAGTCCATAAAAGTGAAACCAGAAATTGATGTTTTGGACCAAACTCGGTCTTTCCTAAGAGCCACAATGAGTTTTGTACGGAGTCAGACACTTTCATGCGGATCAAGTCAACGCGTATGACTGATGGGACCGGGCTTGTCGTTAGTCCTACGCGATCGATTCGTGTTTTCGGTCCATGTCACTGACATCAGCGCCCAAGGTCACGCACGATTCACGCAGCTGGTTGTGTGGATCAGGAGCGCTTTATTGACCTTCCCGCGAAGCCTTTCATCATTTGCTCAAGATATAGTACGCTGATCAACCACAGCATGAACGGTAGCCAATTTTTTTCACACTCTGCTTTGACATCCTTTACATTATTTGTCTGTCTCTGTCCTGTCTACTATCTTGAGACGCTTTTCTCTGGCTTCAGCGCTCATCTAATGAGATTAATTGTGCGCTAGGTCGTTCTTTACTCAGCGTCGCCCGTTCGCCGAAGTAAACTGAACCACATGTATAGGAGAGCCTGTACACCCAACGTTACTTCCCATTCTCCGGTCTCTTGGTCCTCAGGTAGCAGAGGTTACTGCGAACAGTTGTTCAGGCTTTGAATACAATGATTGAACAGGCCTTAGACGCAATACGTTGTAGCTTTTCGCCAAGCTTAAGAAAGTACGGTAGGGTGATGTACATCTTACATACGGGTGAACAGCAACAAATAAATTAATTGCCTTGATAAGTCCACAAGACGTTCATTTAGCTTTTGCACTGATCGACCGTTTCATACAAAGTGAATCTTGAATGATTTAGTTGTTTGCAAAAATCAGTCTTCCTTGATGCAAATTTACAGGTATCCTTAAAGAAGCACATTGAAAACACATTTCTCTTCTTCTTGCGATATCCTGTTATCAAATATCCTATCACATGCACAACCAGGGGCGATAAAATTCCGGTTGTCATGACAAACTAATCTCACAGTGTTTTTATCGCGAGATCTGACGGAAGAGGTTCCCCTTCAACCAAGCCTTAAGCGAGACATGCTGAAGAGACATTCTAGGTTAGTAACGGCAATAACGTGAAGACACAGGAAGAGACCTGTGTACTCGTGCTTTTTTGATGATGTTGCCAAGTTTTAAGAATGCCGGCTTCTGCTAATGTCTAATAAGATTTTCATAAAACAGATTTGATTCTTTCGCAGAGGCAAAGTCAGATGAGATCGAGCGTGTTCAGTGGGCTACAAACAGTAGGTTGGATATGAAAAATGTACATATCTGTTGCGACTGATGAAACTGTTGAAGAGCGACATATAGTCACTAAAAATCAATCTACTATTAGCAGTAAATGCCGTGAGCATGGAAAATTGTCATTTAATTAATTAACGTGCGTGAAATTCCTAATAATCACTCCTGCATCTCAAGCACAACTGTAACAGAACAAGAGTATTAGACTAAAAGGTTGCTGCTTTCGTAAATAAATACGATTTGATGTCTTAATTGTTGGAAAGGCAAACGATCGGCCTGTGCCGAAAATAAAATTTTAAAGATACGAGGGGCTGCTTTTATAAGCACATGCAAAACTGAGTTTAAATCTCTGATGAAATGACAATTACTTAAATGCACTTACTATAGAGTTGGCGTTGATGTAGTCTGATTTTGACGGATTCAGCACGCTGGACAGAACCACTCTGCTGTGATCGTCTACAATAGAGGCGATTTGTTTTTATGACCAAGTGACCATTGAAAATCGAAGCTTACAAGGCAAAATGTCTGATCGATTCTTTGGCTGGTTTTCGACCAGAGTGGCGGAATTAAACGTCCAATGATCTTGATACTTCTGCAGAGCCTTCCATTCTTCCTCAAGGCGGGTTTTGTTCATCAGATGATCTTCCAAGTACGACTAAAAATTGAAATTGTCTCGAAAACGTATATAAAATAAGCAACGGAATAGCTTCAAAGTAAAAAGTTTGAAGAAGCTAGTGTGCCACGAATAGAAACCAGTAAGCAATAATCATTTCCATGCGGTTATTCTTTTATAGGCTTAAGGACCAGTAAGCCTATTATACGCGAAAGGGAAAAATGTTAGCCAAACCAAAGTTTAAACCTGATTTACTGTCAAAGCAGCAATCAGAATTTCACATAAAATACAGGACGCTATTTAGCTGAAACTGAGAGGCACAATTTTCTAATCATTGAAACTTAGGGAATACTACTTTGGAGTAGAGCATTTCTGAAGAAATCATAAATTTTAATTATAAATATGTGCTCTAGCGGTCAACTGGAAACTAAGAACACCAAACGGCAAAAGCGTAACTTAAAATTATTCCTGATCAAAAAAGCTGAATGAATCGTGAGTCTATTAATTAACTCCTTCAGTTTATACGGAATAAACACCCATGAAAAGATTTTGTACCATTGACTGATGATGCACTTAGCTACCAACTATAATTTCAGAATTCCAACAATGAATCAAGAAACTTAACATTCAAAACAATGTGCTCTCTAAGTAACATGACTGATTCTTATAAGCTACGACTTTAGACAAGAAGAAGAAAACATATTCAGACCCTTAGCCGCCACTATCAGAAAGTTTCTACAATTAATATTCACTCAGAGATTCATCTTCAAACTAAACTACAAATTTGGAGTCGCGGTGCAGCAGCTCCAGGTTTTTCAACGGTCCAATGCCAGTCGATTAGTCTTCATGGAGTGGATTCCATGTCACCACAATTCTAATCCTCAATGTATAATCGCTAAGTCTTGCCCCAGCTCTGCCCTGGACAGACTTCCAGGTAGCTTTGAGAAGAATCCGATTTGCATGCCAATCCTCTGGCGTTCTGATCAAATGAAAAAATGAAAAGTTCGCAAACGTTAGGATGTTGGTCTTATTCACACGTTCATGATTAGAAGCTACTTGTAGCGCGGTTCTTTTCACGAAGATAATGACAGGGAACTGATCTATACTTCTATGCCATCAACCAGAGGTGTCCTATTTCAAAACGAACGAAACAAACACATGGTACAGTGTCCATTTCCCTTCCACAAAATGGTACTCATTTATCTACCTGAATGGAAGAAAGGCGACTGACATGACTAGGCTCGAAAATGGGCAATTTAGGTTGTAAGTCTAACAGTCGACCGACTAAGCAATCCTCATCCTGATCACGGCCAGATTAACACAACTGCGATCGCTGGATCGAGAGAAGTGACTGTTCCAATCGAGAGTAATTCTGACGCGCTTCCTAGTATCTTGAATCCCGGTAAGCAGACTGATTTGAAAATCGACAGCTGCTGACGAATATCTGCTCAGCTCCATCTCTAACACTACCGAAAATTCAAAAAAAAGAATAAGATTATGAAGCTGAAGAAATATCTAACGTCACATATCCATTCATTGATACATAAAATATGCAATAAACGCGAAAAAAAGGAATTCAAGACGATCCGTTTTATCAACTTTAATGTTCAGTTTTTACTAGTGAAATCATCTTTGCACTCTAAACGATGGACAACGATCCTGCACCTGCTTTGCATATTTTCTCCTAGGGGCATTTTGATGTCCTTTATTCATATTCTAAGGGTTATGTATATTTTTCCGACATCTAAATTCAACCTTTCCTATTATTTGATCGGATAAATACTTTGCACCAGACACAACTAACTAAAAAATTCAGCTACTTAGACAAAATGAATTTAAGAGATAATGGTTTTTATGAAGAAAGCAAAATTCGCGCTTTTCAAAATAACCCTTGAGCACAGGAAACACATCAAGAGAAAAAAGAGAAGGAAATGATGGAAATTTGTGCATATATCATGATGAAATAACTAAAAAATACCTGTTTTTGTGAAATATTAAAAACGTCTACTCATTATTTACGCTTACAGTGTCGTAGGAATAGTCTAGGGCTCCCAGTATCATGACTTCAATAATTTTTGATAGATTATACTTTCTGTGCATAGCAGCATCATTATTACTGTAGCGTTAATAGTTCATCATAACATATGAAGTTTTCTCTGACATGTATTTATAATGAATTTCTGAAGATATCATACAACAAAAGTTTACAAAGGTGGCAACATCCAATTTACAAATCTGACCCGTACCAAAATCATATGACCAGTAGAGATGTCCATGTTGTTAGGAGCCGGTTCTTCACTCCTGCAAAAAACAAAATTAATTCATTAATTGAAGTTTAAAGAGGTGCATTTTTAGAATCCATAAGTTTTTTACATAATTAACGTCCACCCTGTTCAGAGTGGTAATCATATTGCTGCCAAACTAAGGCAACGTCGCCCTGCACGATTCTTCAGGTTTAGAACATCTCAGTGGTGAAGAGTTATTTCCGATGCATTTGCATCGATGTAAAGATGCTGCTATATCAACACAGACTTAGACCTGCTTACAGTTTACCGTGGGCTACCAAAAACAGAAGAACGGAAAGATTAGACGAAACGAATCTGAAGAACCGAGGAGATCAGAAAAAAGGTTCTACTGGCAAAGACAAAATATTATGGACAGCTTCTGCTTAAGGATGTTATTTCTGTACCATAATATCTACATTAATATTAAGCAAGGGCATTCTCATGTCGCTTCTCCGGATATATACGGCGTAACACACCGTTTCTTTGTTTCTGACAGAGCAGGGGTCCGTTTATGTAGTCCATAGCTGTATCACATTAGTGTATGGGAGCCAAACAGCACCACCTCACACCATGGGGTTTATTTTTGTTGTATATGCCTTCGAACAGAGGTATGTTCTTCGGCGTTCAAACTGTGCGTGGGAACGAAGAATGTGGTGCTGTTTTGCGTTCATGCACTGCAGCTGCTAAAACACCAGAGCTGTGGCCTGCCTAAATGGACTTTCGGCTATTAGAAGCAAGGAGGTGCGCTTCGCGGTGACAGGAGAATGTTATTCTTTCAAGCGTAACCTAAAACTACTAGTTTGATAGCATGCCAGTGATATCGGGGTTTATTTATAGTATTATTAAGTATTATTCGGTTTATTAGAATGCTCAGTTTTTCTTGCCTAGGGATTGCCGTCATTTTCCATTCCACGATAAATGAAGCCTAAAATAGTTCTGTCAAGCAATGCTCGCCTGAAATGCCATTAACTACATTAAAAAGTTTAACATCGGTCAAAGCTTAATGTGTACAGTCGTCGATGTAGCGGTTTAAGTGAAAAAAGAAAAAAATGCAAATCAGTGGTTTGGAAATCATTTTGTAAAAAACATCATTTCATTCCTCATAGTTGGCAATCATAGCGTAATCTTTGAAGCAGAACTATTCTGAAAGGCAACTGGTTCTGACATACGGGGTTAAGCTCGAGTAAAAAGTAAAGTAAAAAAAGAGATTGAAATTATTATTAATTAAAACGGAGAGAATGTCTCGTGAATAGACGAAAAGAAAACAAAACCCTTGAAATATGTCCAACCTGATATTAGAGATCAACATACTTAAAAATGAGTCTT